ATTGTATTTTCCTACTTGTACTTTATTTAGCATCTTAGAGTTGTCAGTTGATATATCAGTATCAAATATAAATAAATATATATAAAAATATATAAAATTTTTATATTTTATTTAGAGACAGGGTCTCGCTAAATTGCCTCACCCTCCTGAGCTGCTGGGATTACAGGTGTGCACCACCGTGCGAGGCCCTTTGTTAAAATTTTGAGAGAGTCTCACTAAGTTGCTCAGGCTGGCCTCACACTTCAATCCTCCTGCCTCAACCTCCTGAGTAATTGGGATTACAGTTGTGCACTATTGAATCCAGTTTCAAGTCTGTACCCTTTGACCAATATTTCCTTGTCTCTCCCACAGTGGTCTTTGGCAATCACCCCTCTACTCTGTTTCTGTGAATTTAACTTATTAGATGACATATACATGTGAGATCATGTAGTATTGGTTCTTCTGTGTATGTTTATTTACTTAGTATAATGTCTTCCAAGTTTCTCTGTGTTGTCACAAATGGCAGAACTTCTTTTCCTTTTTTGGCTGAATAATATTCCATTCTGTATTAAGTACCATGGTTTCTTTATCCCTTCATCTGTTGATGCACACTTAGGTTGTTTCCATATCTTGGCTATTTTGAGTAATGCTGCAGTGAACAAAAGGATACAGATAACTCTTTGAGATATTGATTTCATTCCCTTTCAAGCCCAGAAGGGGTTGCTGGATTGTACGGTAGTTTTAACTTTTTTTTTTTTAGGAGAAATCCATATTGTTTTCCAAAATGGCTATATCAATCTACATTCCCCTATGATGGCATTATTTCCAGTGGGATTTGCTGGAAACCTGGTAGAATGTTTTGTTATATTAACTCTCCTGGATTTAATCTATAGATTCTACCTAACCCTGGGATGTGATTGCTGGTATCTCTGCTCAGTTTTTATTTATTTATATTTATTATTAGTTTTGGCTTTGGTTTTACTGTGAGCATTACATGTGTGAGTAAATGTAGCATATACATATGCCTGGCTTCCTAGGGGTACCCTTGTGTCAGCATAGTTTAGTGGTCAGCCAGTGATCAGAGACTGCATTCATACACTTCAAACTTGGAAGGCATATATTCTCTGATGAATCTTTATGACCTGAGACATACATTCAAAGTTCAAGGTATTTTAAACTCTGTCTTTACTTTTTTGCCAGGTCCTCTTAAGTTTCTTCTACATGTGTATTCAGCCTTCCATTTAGCTAATGATGTGTAGAGTCTTTTCATTGAGTTCTCTCAGATCTTTTCTGCATATAAACACAGATTTCTAGTTAACAAGGAATGTATAGAGATCTTGAATTCTCTTGTGTTTTCCCTGTGTAGGCTTCCAATGATGTGGAGATATGTGAAAAGCTTCATCTTGATCCTTGATGGCTTTCTTATTTCTAAGATCTCCCTATTAAATTTCTGGCTAGTCCATTGCTTTGATGCTCACTTCTGTAAAACCATGATCTCAGGCCAACACAGCTATGAGCTTTCCCCATTTATTTCCTCCTAAGTTTGTAATTTTTTTTTTTTTCTGACAGCATCACTAGGTCTGACTTTTTGCCATGTAGTCCAAATCAAGTTAGCTTGCCTTCCAACAGTATAGTTCCTGGTTTTCATTTTCCTCCCACTCTGGTAGTACTATTTATTATACCAACTGAGATATTTTATATTTATAGCTATGTACAATTTTGACGATTTTTGTATGTGGTTTTTTTTGGGGGGGGGGCATTTGATAATGTCATCACTTCACACCATCACTAAAAGTCTCACTTGTCCATTTTTATCAGGTTTGGAATTTTATTTTATACTACTTTCACTCTGCCAAGTTAGCCTATTTTGTGAATACTGGCTGAGGATGTGAGACTGTTGGAACAGTGATAAAGAACTTTATTAATACTTATAGCACAATGAATAGTAACTACTATCAGAATATTTTCATTGGTTCCTCTTGCCCACAAGTACTATAGGGGTGACATAAAGGGGCCTAAGTGATGCTATAGATGCAGTGATTTTGTGTCACCGTTGAGGAATAATGAGCTAAGGAATCTACCACTTTTATATCAAGTAGTTAGCCAGTCTCAAGGTTGCTCACTATAGACACTACCCCAAGAAATGGATAGTGGAGAGTATTAGTCAGAGTTGGCATGCCCAGCAAGACATGCAGGAGCACTAGAAACCCTCAAAGGATAGCACATTCATCTGAATAATTTATTGGATGAAATTGTTAACAGTATCCTAAATCTTTTGGATATGATCTGCAGTGATGTCTCCTTTTTATTTCTGGTATCGATATTTGTCTGTTCTCCCCTTCCTCCCTTTCTCCCTTTTTTTTGAGTGATTTCACTGATGGTTTATTTAATTGTTCTTTTCAAGGAACCATCTTTTGTTCTTATTGAGCCTACTTTATTTTTTTTCCTTTAATATCTGGTTTTATTTTATTAGTCATATTTTCATTATTTATTTAGATTCATTCTCTGTTTTTCGTCCCCTAATTTCCTAATATGAACATTTAGTTAACTTGATTATCAGGTTTTGTTCCCCTAATACATGCATTTAAGACTATAAATTTCCTTCTATTATGATTTTAGCCATGTCCCACAAGTTTTTTGATACATAGAATTTTTTTTAATTTAAATTCTAGATGGACACAATATCTTTATTTCATTTATTTAAATCTATGTGGTGCTAAGGATTGAACCCAGTACCTCACACATACCAGGTGAGCACTCTACCACTGAGCCACAACTCCAGCCCCAATACATAGAATTTTTAATAATATTCACATCAAAATATTTTTACTTCTATTATGGTTTATATTTTGATCTATGCATTATTTAGAAATGTATTTTTTCCCAAAACGTAGGTGATTATTTCTAGTTATCTTTTAGTTTTGATTTTCAGACTAATACGAAGATGGTCAGAGAATTTTATTATTTCAACCTTTAAACTCCTCCCCCTCACACACACACTTTTAGTACTCAGTGTTGAACCCAAGGGAACTCCACCAATGAGCTACATCCTCAGGCACTTCTCCCTCCTCTTTTAAATTTACTTATTTTGAGACAGATTCTCACTAATTTGCCCCTACTTGCCTCAAACTTGTAATTCTCCTGCCTCTGTTTCCCAAGCAGTTGGGATTATAGACGTATACCATCATGCCATGTTCAACCTTTCACATTTTGGCAAACTTGCACTATGGCCCAACACATGACCCAGCTTTGTTAATGTGTCCTTGAATATGTATTCTGAAATTGTATTGGGTGCCATAATCTATGTATGTCAGTCCTTACTGATTTGCGTGTGTGTGTGATGAGACTCTGAAATATCCAGGGAAATTATAAACTGAAGAGGACAGAGGATTGAGACCTTGAAAACAAGAGCATTTAATGCAAAAAGGTTGCAAGGGTGTGAAGCCATTGGAAAAATACTTAACATATCAGAGAGCTGTCTTTTCCCTGGTTCAATTAGCTCTCCCCACTGATTCTGCTTTCATCCATTTATGAAGTAGATGCATCTGAAATTGTCTTACTCGTTTATATGTCTTTCTGATTCCCAGATCAGACTATAAAATCCCCATTAGTACCGGTCCAACATTTCTCTTGTTCACACCATATCCCTAGTGTTTAGATAAGGCAGTCTAAATGTTTGTGGCATAAGTGGTGGATTTTTTTGAAAACTGGAGAGAAAATGCAATTAAATTTGAAACCAATTTAATATTTTCTTGGTACAACACATGCATATGTTATGAGGAACAATGCAAAATTTAGAGCAAGTTAGAAAAGAAAATGGAACAGCTAAAGTCAATATACCTTGACATTAGTTCTGGTTCATTTATGCCCTTAACATATGTGGTGAATGGGGAAGTTCATGTTGATTTAATCTGTCATCAGTGGTATTTTAATGAAAAAGTTTGAGAAACACTGATTTTTAAGGTTTTCCAGAGAAAAGGGAATACTCTGAGGAACCTGAAATAGAAGAATTTTAACAAGAGCAATAAGGTGAAGTGGGGTTGGCAACTTCAGGGAAATAATTAGAAGAGGCAATGGTCAATTGCCAGAGGAAATAAGGGCAACAAAAGTATCAATTGGATTTAGTAACAAGAGACCATTGTTTATCAGAACAGTCTTGGGGGAATTGTTGGGAGGTATAATAAGAAGAAACAACTGTCAGAGGATAACAAATGGGTTGACATGGTACTTAATATGATATCTCACACAGCTGCATTTAGCCAAGTAATTACTTTCTACCAGTGCCTGCCTTCAGTGATCCACCATGTTGGCTGGGAGAAACTCTGAGCTCTCTCTGTAGTATACCCCAGACCCAAGTATGAACTGTCCAGTTCAATTTACTACTGGCCAGAAGAGGGGGTGGCCCTCCTCTGAGGTTTGGTAAATGTTTCTCTCCTTAGGCAGAGAGTAGGAATTGCCTGAAAATTAAAAGAGGAGGAGAGATTTGTGAACTGAGCTTCTAGGGTATGACTAAGATTGGGACTCTGAAGTAGCAATAGTAAAAAGATTTTGACAGTGTAATACTTATGTATATTAATTTTTTTATTCTCAGTTAATATTCACTGGAGTTTGATTGTGGAAAACCCGAAATGACCCCCCCCCCCGAAAAAAAGGCCTTTCTTGGGGTGGGGGGAGGTTGTGGGTTAGGGGCTGTGTACCCCATCAGGGATGTAGTAAGGCAGCAGTAGGGCCCAAAAGCGACAGGAAACCATCAAGGGACTGACTGTCTTGGGGAACCAAGAGAATCTATGGTTTATTGGGTCTGCAAGGAACACACACAGTGGAATTCATTTCCAAATTTCCTCAAGCCTCTAAGCTGGAATTTAGGGAGCTTAACACAAGAAAAAATAAGGAAGCACGGGCAAACTTCTTATTTGCCTGGGTGACAGTTCCCCCATAGAATTTCCTCCTCTCCGCCCATTTTGGTTAGCGACTTCCTTTGGCCGAGAGTGATCTGGCCACTTTAATATTGGCTGGCAGCGGCCGCAAGGCAGATCGTGGCTAAATGTGCTGTGGCTACACGGAGCCCCGAGTACCCCAACCCGATCTGGCGAGCAGCAGAGACTTCCAAAGGTTACTTATCAGTGCTTCTCCAAGAGCTTGGGGACTCCGCAGTCCCAGACTTCCATGCGACCGCCTTGGGCGCGGTAGATAACAGGTGGCAGTGACTTTTTGAGACCAGATTTGCGACCCTCGTGACCTGGACAACCCCTCTCTCAGGACCCTTAGGGCAAGTCGCACAACTGCTGGATTCACAGGTAAGGGAGGAAGACAAAAGAGCCCAGGGCTGGCAGCACAGCTCCGTCTTGCTATGCAAGTTCAGGCGCTTGGGCGGGAGCCGCTGCCGTGCTGGGATAGGGTAAGGTTCTGGGCCATAATGTGGGAACGTGCTGTGCTGCGCAGGCTCCAGGGCGTGGGCTGGCCGAGCGCCTCCTTTCTGTGGGTTGCTTTACCTTGATGGGAAAACCCATCCAACTGCGCCCTTGTTTCATTTTGACTAGAAAACTTATTTTTCGAAAGAAACCGCAGAACCATAGGCAAATAGTCCAGGGTCATAAATAGCTTAGAGATTTGGTGTGAGCCTCAGCCAGGCACAGAGCCAGTGCGAAAGATTTTGATTTGGGTTTTATTTGGCTTTGTGTCCTTAATTTGAATAAAAATAATTTGATCTGGCAGTATTGAACTGATTTTCAGTATTAGTTATGATCTCTTGACATCAGAGTTACCCGGCATGGTGGTGCATAAACCCAGACACTAGAAAGACTGAGACAGCCTGGGCAACTTAGCAAGACACCAAGACACCATCTCAAAAAAAAAAAAAAAAGTGTTTGGGGGGGCACTTAGGCAGAGCATCCCAAGATACTGGGGCTTTACCACCAACCATCCCAAAGTTAGAGTTTAAACATGTGACCCTTCCATTTTAACACTTTAGTATGTTCAACATAAAATCTTATTTAAGTCAGAAAATAGATGAGCAAATCTAGAATAATGATTTACCTACATTTGACGCAAATAAGGTAAATATTACTAGTTATTACCATTTAACATTTAATATTAAATGTTAAATGTTACTCAATTTCATGAGTCTTGAAGTAGAAATCATATTCATATTGTTAAATCATTAATACCTCATCTATTGAGTCATTTGCTTGTCATGCTCCTGTTTTGATTCAATTAACAACTATATGCTGTTATATCTTTCACATCCCCTTCTTCATCCCACTCCACTTTTTTTGCTTCCTTTTATTATTTCCTCTTCTCTACTTACTTCTCCTCCCTCCCATCTCAGGCTGTCTTCCTTGTCCCCTACTTCTCATGAGTGACCATCATGTGAAACCTGTGTCTGGATAGTTTTCATTTTTCATGACACCTCACTCTCATTTGACAGAGTTGACCATTCCTCCTCTTTAATATTCTTCTTCACTAACAGTCTTTCTTCTTCATCTGGCTTCCAGGTCACCAAATTCTTATGCATTTCCCTCTTCCTCATTTTGATCATCCCTGTCTCCAGGCTTTTTAACCACAAAATGTTAGAGTGCCATGAGGTTCAGTTCTTGGCCCTATTCTCTTTCTATACATATTTTTTCCCCAAGGTGGTTTCTGTCCTAGGTCATATTCTGTGGCCATAAATAACATTGATAAGCTGATGACTTCCAAATTTTTACCTCTAGATTTAGTTCTCAGTGTTCCAATATGCATGTATCCAGCTCTTTTTTCAACATCTCCACTTGGAAGTCTTATGGTCGTTTAAATTTAATATGTACATACACAATTATTGATACCACACCCACTTAGTCCTCTTTTGTGCTTTCTTCTCAGTAATCTTCCTTATTTCAGTTAAAATTACTGCCATTCAAGTGGGCTGAAACAATTGGAATCAATCATTCCTGATTTTTCTTTTTAGGAATCATTCTTGACTCTTCTTTTTACTCAGACTCTACATTTAAGCATCCAAAAAATTCTATGGGCTGTACCTTGAAAAAGATACCTCAAATCTGATTATACCACTGTCCCACAGTAGTAAAGTCTTTACTTCTGCCCTTCTTGCTCTATAGTCTTTCTCCAAGCAACAGTAATTTTTTTTTTTTTCAGATACATCAGAACTTTCACTTCCCTTCAAAACCTTCTGGCTTCTCTTCAGAATTATAAAAACCAAATACTTACAATGGCTTTGAAGCCCTGTGTGATCTAGCCCCTGACTACTCTGATCTCATCTCCTAACTTCCCTGTTGCCCACTCCACTGTAGAGACACTGGTCTTGCTGTTGTTCCCTTTGCCTTCAGGGGGTCTCTGCAAGACCATTGAAGACTGAACTCTCTCATTTCTCTCCTTTACATGCTGCCTCAGTACTCATTGTCCTGTTAGAACAAGATCCTTTTTGCTACTGTCCCTGTGGAATGGGCTGATATTAGATATTGTGCTACTCTATAATACAGTAGTCCTCCTTTATCTGAAGAATATGGTCCAGGACCTCCAATGGATGCATGAAACTGGATAAAAAACCAAACCCTATATATCATGAGATTTTTCCTATACATACATATCTATGATAAAGTCTATAGATTAGGCATAGTAAGAAATCACAATAATAAATAATAATAAAATAGAACAATAACAATATATTATAATATGGAGTAGTGATCACCAGCATTACTAACTACTCTTGTGCTTTGGGCTCAATAATAAGTAAAATAAGGGTTACCTGAACAAAAATCCTGCAATACCGTGACAGTTGATCTGATACCCTAGATAGATACTAAGTGATCAACAGGAAGGTAGTATTTGTAGCTTAGATACATTGGACAAAAGGATAATTTGTGTATTAAGTGGGATTGAGTTGAACAGAACATGATTTAATTATACTTCTCAAAACAGCAAGCAATTTAAAGCTCATGGATTATTTATTTCTGTAATTCTTTATTTAATATTTTAGGTCTGCATTTGACCCCATGTAATTGAAACCAGGGAAAGAAAAATTGTAGAAAAGGGGGAACATGTTAAATTTATGACATCTTTAAGGCATTGTTGGTTGCTAACGCTCTCTGATATTAAAAATGCACAGCCATCTATTTCTTCAATGTTATTTTGGACAATTTGCCTTAAAATTTTGTATTCTTATAAAATCCCTTCCTGGTTTTGAGAAGATTTGTCCTTTATACCAGTTCTCATTTCTCCTTTTTAAATACAGAAAATGAAAGGAAAATATTATTCAGTTTACCAGAAAGAATATGCAGTCATTTTTTGAAGGCTATTGGGTAAAATGGAGCTTCATAGCTACTGAGCAAAGAGAGACTAGGTCCTCAAGATGGAAAATCAGGTGCCCAGGTAATATTAGTTTTATATTTTTTGTTTTTCAATCCAACAGGAGCAGTTTTTTAATTAAGCATTTACTTGCTTATGTTAGATATTATGGAGATGAATGTACTGTCCCATAGTTATTATAATTATTTAAAATATTGGAGGAGCTCTATTTGGCTTAGAGTTCACAAACTCATGTTCTTAGAAAGTTTGCATATATATAAAAAAAAGATGAAATAGAGTTAAATCTGAAGATTGGCTGAACCTATTTGAAATTTATACATATGGCATATAAAGAAGATACTATCTGAGTGTCAAGTTAACATGCCCTGTATTTAAAAGTTCCAAGCTGAAAAATATTTTTTTATTTACTAAAAGCTCATTTTTTCAGGCTGCAAAATCATTGTAGAAAAAGGTGTATTTATATATGTATATGTGTGAGAAGAGTATATATACATATTTTTATTCATACACATGTGAACAAAGGAAAAATATAAATTTATATATATTTATAATCATATATATACATATATATATATATATATTCCACAGAAAATTAATGCTAACTGAGGATTGAACCCAGAGTTGCTTTATCACCGAGCCACATTCCCAGCCCTTTTAATTTTATTTTGAGATAGGATCTCACTAAATCTCCAAGTTACTAAGGCTGGTCTCAAGCTTGTGATCCTCCTGCCTCAGCCTCCTAAGTTGCTGGGATTATAGGCATTCACCCCTGCACCCAGCTAATGCTAACTTTTTGGAATACTTTTTTCCTATCTAATTTATTTTTCTATCTATTTTATTACCCTATTTTGTTTTACAAAAGTGAAATAATACTGTATATACTATTTTGTAGTCTGCTTTTTCACATATTACTCATGGAAACATTTTCTCATGTCATTAAAATTATTTACAACATTCTTAAAAATTTCTAATGATTTAACAAGATTTGATCATATGAATATGAAATAGTTTATGTTGTCATTCCCAAGTTTGGGAGTATTTTAATTGATTACCTCCAATAGAATTTTGGCTAGTCTGTGATACCATATGTAAGATCTTTTATGATAAAAAATATAGTCATATAACTCATATTTCAAACATGCAATAAAAAGTCTCCATAGATCCTGTGACAAAATACTGAGTCGGTATGAGAAATTGCCGGGGGATGGGAAGGCCCGTAAAGACCCCTGTTGCAGAGGGCTGGAGGAGTAAAGGGAAGTGTAGCAGGATATGAGCCAGGTCATGCAGATCACTGTTTGTCTTCTTAGTACATTTTGATTCGAAGGACAATAGGAAGCAGGGTTGAATTGGCAGTAACTTGATCAGATGTATGTTTAGAAAGACCAGTTTGATTTAAGAATGGATTAGACTGACCAAAAGTTGGAGACCTATTAGGAGGCAGTACAGTTGACCAGGGGAGAGATGTTGATCTAGAATGAAGATGTGGTAGAGATGGAAAGTGGAAAAATTTTTGAGATTGAACTTGGTGATTTCTTGGATGTGAAGGTGTAGGAGAAGTGAGAGGTGTCAAGGACAGCTCAGGGTTTTTTTTCACAGCCAAGCAAACAATGGTGCCATTTATCATGATGAAGGAGTCAGAGAAAATGAGGTGAAACCACCTCCCAGGTCAGCAAGGAAAACAAGGTGAGTGCTGTAAACAGGATATTTTGAGAATACAGTGCTGTCTATATTTTGTAAGATGTGAATAGGATATTTTGAGAATATAGAGGAGGAGTGCTTAATTCAACTTGGAAGGTGAAAGGAAATGCTTTCTGACAAATAGAATCCTTGAATGGTATCCTTAAAAAAGGAACTATTCTTGCAGATAGTAGGGTATTGCATATTCTGAGCAGGTGGGCACAGAAACAAGAAATGACATTTTAGGGAACTGAAGATAGTTGGATATTCTGGCTCCACAGACTAGTGTAGTAGGAGCAGATGTTATAGATAAAAGCAG